CACTACCCTCGTAGTTGCCCCTTTGAGGTATATAATTATTCATTTGACTCCTTGTGTTTTTGACTTTCTCAAACTATGGCCAGCACGGTCCGGTTTAAATCGGTCTCACTCCCAAATTACAATCGAACCGTACATTAGTGCAGAAATCAAATCAGTATCCGGTCGATTTAGGACACGAACCAAACCAAATTGTTCGAATTGGTTTTGACTTGAGTCAGCGGTTCAAGCGGTTTTATGGCCAACCCAACCTATTAGCCTATAGGCTTTTTGGCAAATATCATATGTACTATATTGACTGTGTTACAAGTCACAAGGTTAGTTTGGTCATCTTATGTACATGTGCTGATATCATGTAATCACATGCATGCAACATCATATATTATAAGGACAATATTTCCCTCGTTATCTTCTATTGTGGCTCAATCACAAAATGACATGTGTCCTCTCTTTTTTAATTGTCAATACCGTTTTTCTTATTTTCACTTTTATTGAACTCTTGACTTTTTACCAAAACAGGAAAAATAAAATTATAGTAATATAATCTTGTATTGAAAAACCTCCATGAAGAAACTACGTCTACAAATGTTGTTAATGGCAACTTCGGTTGTAGAGGAATAATTGAAGTTAGAGTTCGAAAGGGCTACAAAGACTTCAATTTTGACTGATGAAGGAAAATTATTATTTTAAAAATGGTTGAGAAAAATCAATGTGAAGAACAATGGGAATTTTATTTATTTTTTCCTATTTTGGTAAAAAGATAAGGGTTCAATAAAAGTTTTGACAATTAAAAAAATAGGGGCCACAAAAGAAGGCACGGAGGAGTTCCTCTTTAAAAACACCTCAAGGAGTCTCCAAATTTTAGCCAAACTCTAGCCAAAATAACTAGAAAGCTATTATAGCAAACCACTTAAAAGGTGTTTCCTCTAGCATTGATCTCTATTTTGCCTAATCTGAAATATTTTATTATTATTTTCTCTCTCTTTCTCCTTCTTTCTCTTGAAAATCAAATATATTAAAAAGAAAAGTAGAAACCCAACCCCACCAACCTCCCAAATGCCTCTATCTCTCTCCCCCTTTTTCTCTTTCCTCCTTACTAGATGTAGCGAGCCAAAAGTCAGTTCTCCAAAATAGAGAGTAAAGTAGAGAGTTTGTTGAAAGGAAGATTTTCCTTCTTTTTAGCCAAAGTAGCTAGGGATTACATACTTGTATTATTGCATGCCATCACATCGTCCCTTCAAATTGAGCCTGAATCAAGTCCTTTAGCAACTCACAATCAGAAACCATTATCCCCAAAAAGCCTTGGAAAGCCCTTCAAGTTCAATATCCAACAGTCCATGGAAATAACACCTGCTTTGATCATTTGCAATTTTCTCCATCTAGTGCTCACTTCCTCTGCAAAAACTTGCTCAGACAGCAACTTTTCGACCAACCGGATCTTCACTTCTTGCAGTGACCTTCTGGTACTACAAGCCCACCTCCACTGGAATTACATTCCATCCACCAGAAGCATCCAAATTGCTTACAGAGCAACTCAAGCTTCTACTGTCATGGCAGTTTATACAACACCTAGAGGTGCAGCCAAGAGCTCTTAGCTTTCAAGTTTCTAGCATCTCTGCAGAAAATTCCAACAGCCAGATGGCCCATCTTTGCTGTTCTGGGACCATTAGCTAATGGCACCACAGTCAATCATGTATGTATGACAAGCTGGGAATTCAGTTTCAAACGATGTCCATGAGACTTGACCAATTTCAGGGCCAATTATTCAATCCGTCGGAAAATTTGATTTTCTGTCTGGATGAACTACTATGATCATGTTTACTACTAAACCAGAAGGGGGAAAGGAAAAGTAAATGAAAGGATAGGAAATTAATAAACCAACCAGAATGATCTTCAAGGGGTTATTTATAGCCCTAACATTTTAGTGTAGCCCTGTTCAGCAAGATTAACACTTCCATTCCATCATATGGTAGAGTCTAAACAACCTCAAAGTTTTTCTGTGTACAAAGCAATAGAGTGAGAGTTGATGTGGATTGTGAAGTAGAAAATTAGCTTGAATAAATAGGTCCCTGACTGCTAGGCATGTGTAATGAAGCTACCCATCAACTGCAGCAGCTCATCATGCTTGGCCTTTGTTACGGATAACTCCAATGTTACCTGTTGTCATATATGACAGGTAATTTGTTAAAATGGATGTCATTTGTTAAAATGGATAAATGGAGCTCCAATACTGAATCCTCATAACCAACCAATTTGAACTTTTTTTCTCTTCCAAAACATTTAAATTTCCACTGTTTCTGGATCTTCAAGAAATTAGTCAAAATCATCAACTTTCAAAAAGGCAGGGAGACTTGATACCCACAAATTGATAGGTCACTAAACTCTTTATGGTTCTTATTCTTTTCATATGAGTATCGATTAAAAACACAAAACTATTGAAAAAAAATTGGACTTGAAACTGGGCGGTACATAAGTTGTAATTAAAACATCCATAATTAGGAGAGCCACTCCAAGGTATTAAGAGAGTAGGAACATTAAAATGACATTCAATCCCAAAAATCTATAGTCCACATAGACCAACTAAAGCCTGTGCAGATATGCATATTTCATGAAGATAATTGTGCTCACCTCTTTGAAGATTTCACTATAAGAAGTCTCCTCAAAGCCCTGCATCAACCATATGTGAGTTTGGTGAACCAGAAGGAAGAACGAGTGCAAAATTTAAGTGAAGTATGAGCAACTAACATTGCATGATAAATTGAGTTTGAGAGAGAGAGAGAGAGAGAGAGAGAGAGAGAGAGAGAGAGAGAGACCAATTTCCGGAACAAGCTAAGAGATGCTCCATTTAGCTCTCCAATTTTAGCACGGAAGATGTGGATCCCCAGATTCTCAACTGCAAAGGCCATCATCATCAAGGCAGACTCCTTCCCAAGTCCTTTACCACGACTATGCTAGCAAGAGCAAATATTGGAAGTTTAAATTATAGTATATATAATAGTTCCTAAAGTGAAAACAAGCAAAGAGGTATAAATTTTTTATTCTGGAAAGATTCAAATGAACAAACATATATGATTAACCCAAAAAAACAAGGGAAAACAAGATTGGCACTAACACAAGCACTTCAGCCTCTTTGGTATCAGAAGAAAGTAAAAGCAGGTACCTTTTTGGCTCAGCAATCATTATTTCAATCTCTGCCATTTGAGGATCATCCAGGTCATTCATATATAAATTCACATCACCTACCATGGCTGGCAAAGGGCATACCATTACTCACACATAAATCATATTACACAAACAAAGTCCACCATGTAAATGAGCTAATTCAAGATTTGAAGTACATATATTTTTATACTTTGTTTAACAGATAGCTACAGGCACTCAACTCCTTTAAACATATCTTATTTATCCTTGTTTTTCTCTGAACGCCTTGATTTCTAATAAAAAATAACTGAACAAACAATATCTTGAAAACTGGAATAAGTTAATTATTCCCAATTTTTTGACTTGCTAAACAATAAGAACCGTCTCGGGAAGGCCATTCAAAACCATCCAAACAACTATTCCTAGAGAGAAAGTGCTTTGCTTGCTCAAAGTGATCCTCTTACTTTCAAAACAGAGTTTTCCCTTCCTTTTTTTTTTGGTTACAGTGATTTCCTTAATTTTTCTAAGCAACCAAGCAGACAGTAATTTTTGTGAAGAAAGACTGTAAATTTGGCTAACCTTCCACATGGGGCTGTCCATGGTTGAATTCTCCCACAACCAATTGCTTATCCAATACAATAAAAGTCTGCTCTGCAACACCCATTTCCAATTCTTTAATCCCTCACCAGACCATGAATATAATTATATAATAACGAAATCATTCAAACAACCCTGAATCACTAATCAAAAGCAGATTGAATCCTTTCTATTATTTGCCTGAAAGATCAAACCTTGACTAGCACAATCTATAATTATAAGTTATTTGTCAAAACCAAGATTACCCAATTCAGTTATGGCAAAGTAATCCACAAAATCAGAGAGAGAGAGAGAGAGAGAACTGTTAGGGTCTTGGGTCCAGGTGAGCTGCATCTGATACTCCTGGTCGAGGGTGAGGGGCTCAGAGCCAGTGGCTTGGAGCAGAGCTGGGTCTTGCATCCACTCATGGTACTTCGGAACGTGTTCTTTCATGTAAGGCACCAGTATCACTCTCCCTCCTTCCAAGCTCACTCTCTCTTTCTCTTTCTCTTGCTCCATCTTTGCTTCCCTTGTTCTCTCTCCCTCTCTTCTCTCTCTCTCTCTCTCGCACAAACTGGCAGACAAAACAATTTACATAGATTAACCATCAAACGACGTCGTTTCAAGTATGATGAAGTCAAAGGTCGAGATTTTTTGTGTGCCTTTTTTTTTCCAATAGTGTTGGAGAATATTTAATTATTATTATTATTTTTTTGTCTGAACCATGAGGTGGTCCTGGATGGGCTCCAACTATGGGTGGCACCTTTAAGCCTTAACCACAACCCAGACTAATCCCCACTCACACCGGGTCGGCCCGTAGGGGTAAAGTGTTGGCCAAAGTGGTGATTCCGTACGAGAGCAGGGATCGAACCCCTGACCTCTCTTAAGGAATGAGAGTGCCGAACCACTCACACTAACTACCTTGGTTGAATATTTAATTATTTAATATACCGAGAGCAAATTTTCCCTATAAATAAATATAAATTAGTCAAGAGTAAGCTTCACTTATCATTCCCTTGCTTCAAAGCCAAGCACAATCCTTGCAAAGATCTTTTTCATTGAAGATGACAAAAAAAAAACCCAATTAAAATGATGAAATAGCCCAAATATTCCATGACAAAAGACACTTGCACTTGCACTTTGAAACCTTCATTTTCTACTCCACCAAACAAACGCTTTGAGTGCCTTAACTTCAAAGCTAAGCACACACACTATTCAATTCCCACACTTGCTCCATATCCATGATGACTAACCATCACCCTCTTATCTCCCTCATCATTACCAAACACATAAATGTTAACAAAAGCTTCCCAACCAAACCAATTCAAGCTCCCATGCTCCATTTCTCTTCGATCAAATCCTTCTTCAAACCCATCAATATGCTCTTCCTCTTATCCCTCTTCCTTCTCTTTTCCCTACCCCATGTCACATTTTCTGCCCATTGCACCACCTCCACCCCCACTAAAACCTTCCAAAAATGCATCACCCTCCCTACCCAACAAGCCTCCATAGCATGGACATTCCACCACCACAATACCACCTTAGACCTTGTTTTCTTTGGCACTTTCATATCCCCTTCCGGGTGGGTTGGGTGGGGCATCAACCCCACCTCCCCTGAAATGACCGGCACAAACGCTTTGGTCGCCTTTCCGGACCCTAGTACCGGCCAAATAGTCCTCCTACCTTACCTCCTAGACCCAACCGTGAAGTTCCAACGCCGCCCTCTCCTCTCTCGCCCTCTTGATATCCGCATACTCTCCTCCTCCGCCACCCTATACGGTGGCAAACTAGCCACGGTCCATAATGGCGCCGCTGTCCAAATCTTCGCCACATTGAAGCTCGCGTCAAACAAGACAAAACTCCACCACGTGTGGAACCGCGGCCTCTATGTCCAAGGCTACTCGCCAACCATACACCCAACCACCGCAAACGACCTTTCGTCGGTGATGACATTCGATGTCATGTCAGGCTCAACGGCCGCACGTCACACCAACATTGGTACACTCAGATCAGTGCATGGCATCATAAATGCTGTTTCATGGGGAATCATGCTACCCATTGGAGCAGTGATTGCACGCTACCTTAGGCACATCCAAGCACTGGGGCCTACATGGTTCTATGTTCATGCTGGGATTCAACTGTTTGCTTTTTTCTTAGGAACTGTGGGGTTTGCCATTGGAATTAGGCTTGGGGATTTGTCACCTGGGGTCCAATATGGGCTCCACAGGAAGCTTGGGTTTGCAGCATTTTGCTTAGGTGCTCTTCAAACACTGGCACTTTTGTTTAGGCCAAAAACTACAAACAAATTCAGGAAGTACTGGAAATCTTATCACCATTTTGTAGGGTATGGATGTGTGGTGCTTGGGGTTGTGAATTGTTTCCAGGGATTTGATGTGATGGGAGAAGGCAGGTCTTATGCTAAGCTGGCCTATTGTTTGGGTTTGTCTACTCTGATTGGGGTGTGTATAGCTTTGGAGGTGAATTCTTGGGTGGTGTTTTGTAGAAAATCAAAGGAGGAGAAGCTGAGGAGGGAGGGTTTAATTGGGGGCTCTGATAAAGGCAGTGCAATCTTCAGTTGAGCTTGAGAGAGAGACATACATATACAGATGGCATAATTACACAAAATTATGCTTGAGGAAGAACCCTCTTTTTAATGTCATGGATCATATTTATAGCTAGCTAGCTAGCCAGCCAGCCAACTACATGTTGAAAAACAGTGCTTTTGTGGAAAGAAACTAAAATTTTGGTTTGGATGTTTCATGCTTCTGTAGGGCAGCTGAGATCAGAAAACAAACTTGTGCTTATAGTTTCTTCTTTTTGTTCTTTTTGGATGAAAACCTTTCTTTCTTCTTTGCCTGAATGTATACAATTACCACAGTTTGTACTGTTTGTTCAATTACCACTGTTTCACTCAACTATTTTACACAGAAGTTTTCCTTTTGCTGTAAGTTTCTGTAAAGATGAATCATCAGAAAAGAAAAAAAAAATTAAGTCAAAAAGTTGATTTTGTCAAGAATGGGATTCGAACCCATGCCCTTTCGGACCAGTACCTGAAACTGGCGCCTTAGACCAACTCGGCCATCTTGACGCTTGTTGATTATTTTCCCACTTATGAATAAATAAAGTACTTGTCTTCCACCCGCCTTCTTAACAAATAATTACTTGCCTTCCAATTCAGGTTTTGATTGAATTTGGACGTATCCTTAGTTGTATTTGACCAATTACAATCATTGCCACAACTATTGCTTGTAGTCTAGTGGATCCTTGCTTGCTAGACAAGGGATGAGACAATAATAGATCCCTTTCCAAACAAGTGATTGCAATTGGACGGTGACGGTGTTGGTCTAAAGGGAAAGAGACGAGAGTCGAACTCTTATTGTAAGTATTCCGAAGTATTAGGGACAAATGTTCTATCACTAAAGTTAAGACTCACTTTCAAGTCACATAAAAAGTTAACCCCATTTGCCATTTCATAGGCAGACCGTGCAAGTGAGAAAACCATGCAGTTTTGTTGCTGACTCATTTGTTTGGTTGTGTAGAATTTGCATCTTGATTCTTGAATAGTTACTGCAGCCATAGCCAGTAAAAGTTGAAATAGATTGATCATTCACACAAGCTCATTGTAGAAAGTCTAAAAGTAACAAAAAAGGTGGTATTTTCAATCGTTTTCTTTATCCTTTTTTCTTTCTTTGAACTTTTTGGGCTTTTATATTCGAGTCTCTCTCCCCACTTGAGCTCTTTGAATTTCCCATCAGAGATATCAAGAATGATATAAAGCAGAAAGGAGCAAAGGTAGTGGCAGGAATGTTGGTCTCTCTTTAAGGGTCCTCTATCATACAAGATTTTTCCTTTCTTTTTTTCGCAATGAAAAGAGATTTTCAAAGTTAAATAATACCTTCCTTTTATAATGCATTCAACGCACTCTTTGCCTGATCAGAAACCACTTAAACATTCCATACTGGGGAGAAAGAGACTTATTAATTTCCTAATCTTCCAAATATTACCTACATTACTTTGAATTAAAACAATAGGAGTCATTATCAACTGGCTTTTTTTATACAAACGATATTATATTGTAATCTAATCTAAATTACGGTAAGAGGAATTCGAACTCAAGTGCAGGGCGGGGAGCACATCCGTTTTAGCCAACTTGGCTAAACCCATGTCCACATTATTAGCTGACTTTTAATCCTCCAGGACTTACTTCTTAAGAATAAATAATAATAACTTTCCAAAGAAAGAAAAGAACTTGATGTCCCTACTCTGTTTTGGCAAATTGATCAACTTGTCAACATGAACATGAGACACTGCATTTCACCAAAAAAAAATATTTTGAAAGTGTTGCATACTAAATCCTCGAAGGCTACGAATCAGAATATGCGATAATTATTTATGGGGGTCCCTATATGGGTAACCCTTAAACGTTTCACACTAATAAATCGACAGTAATTTCAGGTACAAAAAAGAAAAACAGAATAATGGGAAGAAAAAAAAAAGAATAAAAAGAAGCATTCCCTGACCAGAACCCAAAGCTTTGCCAGAGATGTTACAGATAAAACTCTAGGAAAAAATATATATATTAGTCTATCTTTCTTGCCTTTTTTTTTTTTGCCTTTTGGGTATCGCCGCCTCACCGGAGATGCATGATACACTTCTGACTATATCCCGCAATCTGATTTTACATCTCACTCAAAGACCAAAATATAAAAACCTAAAATGGGTAACTCAAAACTCAAGCATTAACACAAAATCCATTTTAACTTCTACCTCTAATCTTAATTCTTGAAACAGGCACTCCAGCCAGTTAGCTCTTCTTACTAACCATATTTCTTTTACTGAGATATATAAATGAGGGCGGTGTGCAAAATTCACAATTCACCTGCTTCACCAGACTATCTTTCACCTACAATGCCGTGATATCATCCTAGGCAGCAATTCCTGAAAGAACGTTGGAAATGAGCTTTTAAGTATCAACATATATATTGAAAATTAGTCAAGTGAGCAACACTTTTTCAGTTAAATTTACATTACATTAATGAGTAGATTCCATTTCATTCATCTGAGAAGACAGGCGTGTGTATGTGTGTCCATGCGCATGTAGGTGTTTACATATAACATAATTGTATTACCAACAGCTTCAATGCAGGATCAAATTCACGGAAATAACTTCCAAGAAAATTTGAATACTTTGCACTCTGACACTGATTAAAAACGCTATGTAGCGAGTAGCTATCAGCCAACTCATGGGTAGAAGCTAAGTATTCTGAAAGCTTATGCTAACAACAATATGTTTCACCTTTTATAACTGCTGCAACAATCAAATAAATAAGGAATATGCAGCCATTATAAACTAAGTTGTGATTTGTTCAATGATGGCAAGACTGTATAACAAATCTGACCTCAAACTTGAAGAGGCTGTAAGGAATTAAGGCTCACGAAATGAGAATCCAATGGTCGACTAAATTCTCTATCCCTCTATTCATCTGCTATTTATACACCCTCCTACTTGCAGAACTTGAATATGCATCCATGAGACAGAAAAACATACATGCTGCCCAACTATATCATCCCTCTCCACTTCAGACCCTTGACTAGTGCTTTGTATTACTTAACTTAACAGAGTCAGAAAGGTCCTAAAAAGAGATTATGAAAAGGTTGGATACAAGGACAAAAGGACAATAGTTATGAGAGCAAACACACACCGGAAAGAGAGACAGAGGCAGCCAGCACAGACACATTTTAACCATAGGCTAGAATTCAACGATATTCATATTAGACTTCTTTAGACTTCTACATTTCTCTCAATTTCTTCCTTGATTGAATTAAAAGAACAACATAGAGAGATAAAACTAGGCGAATCATGTTACTCAACTTCAATGCACTGCTGAGTATAAATATTGTGGTCTTTAAGTTGTGATAATAAAAAATGAAGCCAACTTTCACTATTGTGTCTTATTTTGTGAAAAACATATGCTGAATCCCTTGAAAGACAATGTCAAGACTCAAGAACTCCTTAAAACAAGAGAATGGGACTGCATAGTGGAGAGTTCTATAGCGTAGCTGAAAAAAAATCATGCACTTCTACATAAGAAACAAAAACAAAATCCTATGACCCAAAACGTGCACACACACCTAAAGAGAGAGAGAGAGGTAAAAAGAGAGAGCTCATCCAAACTCTAGAATGGCCAATAAACAAGAAGTAACTTCGAAATCTGCCAAAGAAATAAAGGAAACAAATGCAATATAAGGGAAAGAGAGCTCCAACCCTCGGAAAGATTCATAATGCTTTTCCTTCCAGAACAGAAGAGAAATTGATGAAAGCTGCCTAATCTTCCT